AAAAAAAAAAAAAAAGAAAAAGAAAAAGAAATCACATCATTAAAGCTTCCCCTTCACGCTCCTATCATCATCATCAGAAGGTACCTCACACTCCAAATCTACACCCTCCTCCCTAATCCTTCGAACCTCCCTCGCCAACTCTCCCCGTAACAAACCCGCCAACTCCTCCCCCTCGTCATCATCCAATTCCTCTCGTTGCCCACGTCCAAACATCACAAAGCTTGCCCTGGCAGCATTAGACGCCGGATTAGAGGACGGCCTAGGAATGATATGAAAATGGGCATGAGGGACCTGTTGCGCGGCCCTGATTCCTGTGGTTTACATTAATATACTTGATCCTGATACATGAGTGATACCAGTAGGAATAAAGCCCTGAGCGCCTACCGTTATTCTGTACCACATTCCAATTCCAATCGGAGCGGTCATCTTCACCGGAGATTGTTCGCATGACGACGCGCGAGAGGATGGGGAGCCATTGGCCGAGCTAGAAATGATTATAAGTTGTCGTTTATTAAGGGATTTAAAGGTATTATTGGAGAACCATATAGAATGAACAAAACCTGAACTAGAATAGGATCTAAATACGTACCTCACGACTGACTTGAACATCTACGTCGCCAATTTTCTCATAATGCGTCCTCGGGATCACTAAGACATGGCCCCGGGTTAAAGGCATGATGTCCAAGAATGCCAGTACGTGCTTGGTGGACAGAATCAGATGTGCAGTGGGCTGGGCGGGATCGGACGAATCTGGCAGTGGGACTGGTGAGGTATATGACTTGTTTGTATCTTGCAAATTGGGACGAGTATTCTCTGGAGTGAAAGCTGTTGGAGGGATGGGCGGATATGTGCTGGCGATGTTACAGAAAGGGCATGATGATAGTGTCGACATGGTGGCGTATTGGCGTCCTAAGTAGCTTGTGGGATCAGATTGATGCAGGTCTAAAGTGATTTAGGTATTTCGTTAGAGGCCATATAAGACCTGAATTGGGAGAGTGCAAGTGTTGACATATAATCAAGTCTAAATGGTAGTAGAGAGAGTGAGCATTTCTCCGGACCTCGGTTCGTGGAGATGGATCGCTATCCTACTTTATCCACTACGGTCACCACTTAGCAACTAACCCTAACAACAGCAAATGGTAAAGGTCTTTGAAAAGCTGAAGAAGCCAGCAGCTCCATTGTGAATTAAACTCCCTAAACACACATTACGATGACCCTCCTCTCCCCCCTCTATCCCATTGATCGCCACTGAAACACGAGACAAACTAAAGATAACTCCAAAAAAAAAAAAAACGAAACGGTTTCCTTCCTTTCAGTGTTGTTTTTTTTTTCTTCCCTTCCATTCGAGACATCATGTGCCCCGTAACCTGAGGCCTTAGAAATGCAGCAGCATTTACATCGTCACCTCCGTTCTCTGAGGAAGACGACGCAGAGAACGTGCCGGCAGAAGACAAGTGTGGAACCAAAAAAGAATTGCAGATACATTGCCGACCCTGGGCATCCGACGCCTGTAATACAAACAGGGGGAGAAGAAGAATGTTAAGGTATCAGAGGAAGTGAAGTGTGAAGAATCCCAGAGACACTGCCAAATCGAAGAAAGCAAAAGAAGAGCTTGAAAAAAGAGCGCCCGACGCCCCAGTAGAAGTGAATAATGCAAACATCCGCAGCTGAAACAGAAAAATGCCGTCGTAAACATATGCAAGAGGTGTCCTATACCATCACAACCGAAGAAATGCCATATATGGAATCAACCAACTCCTCCCCTCACACCCATCCCGCCAAGGAGCGAGATCTTGGCCCATCACGGGTGCCGCTAAACCCCCCCATCATATTTATTCGTGATCCTTGATATAGTTGTACGGTTCTGAGAGGGAGCTGTCGATGTACAGGTGGTGATACTTCTTGGCCCATTGGCGGGTCAAGATAGACGCTATGGAACATGTTAGGAGCTGCGAACACGGAGAGACAAGCCATGTGCTTACCTTTGAGGAACTTCTTGCTGGCATATTTCTTGAAGAACGCCTCGTGGCAGACCGGGCGGTGAAGGTAGTCGATCATGAGACGGAAGACAGGGTCGATCTGCTCTTCGTCATATCCAGCGTAATAAGCCAGAGTGGCATCCTACATCCCGTTAGCAATCCCCAGTGTCCCTTCTCCGGAGCAATAACAATAACATACCCAAGGCCCACGCTCCAGAATGAGACGGGCCAGGTACATGGCGGCAGCTGACACGTGACTTTGACGGTAAGCCATGAATCGGTGATCTAGTAGACTGATTTCCATAAGGTACTTTCCAAGGGTACGCGTTTGGATATCATAGTTGTCCGCCTTGGAAATACGACGAAGGAAGTTCATCGGGTTGGGATAGCTCATGTTGTACTCGAGAGTCGCCAGAATGTGACGCTCAGCGTCCAAAATTTCCTTGTCGGTGAAAGTCTCGTCGGCGACGTGACTGAAATTGGCCACATGCGGCGAGAGGACCTCCTCATATTTAGATGCGATGAACATAGCAGCAACTCCAACGAGCTGCAGACGATCCAGAGCCACCACCTCGGCCGACAGGAAACGATCGATGATGTTGACAGCGAGGAAAAGGGTTTCAGGCAACAGGCGGAAACGGGTGTGAACTTCAATGAGCCAGTCAACAAGGATACCACGCATCTTCCACTCCAGGTCAGGTTGATGGTCGATGTAATGGGGGTTGGGTAGTGTCTCCAGTTCAAGGTCCTTCATGTATTCGAAGATCTCCACCACATATTCTGCCACCATCAAGGGGTCGTCCAAATCTTCAGTATCCAAATCCTCCACGAGATCTTGAGCGGGCTTCTGTAGGGTCGTTGGCTCAACAGCAGCTTCGACATTTTCCTTAGCGGGAGCCTTTTCAGTGATAGGCTTCTTCTCGGTAGGCTTCTTTTCGACCTCCACCTTCTTGCGGGGTGGCTCCTCAATCAACACGTTATCTTGCGTGGTTTTTTGGCGCTTCTGCGCACTGTCCTTGATAGATCCAGGTCCCGAGCGCTTTTCCTTGTCCTCTGTAGGCTTCTTTGTGTTGGTGGTCTTGTTTGTCAGGGCAGTAGTGCGCGACGAGTTGGTGCGGGTGAGCTTCGCAACGCCACCAGCCTGCATTGTAGCTTTCGATGTCAAGCCGACCTTGGCCGCGGCGGGCTTCTTTCCCTCCTTCGCGCCGCCGTTCTCACCCTTGGTGACATTGCTTACATCACCCAGAGCAGCGCGCCTCCTTGTGGTACCAGTGGTCGTGGTCGAGGTAGCGGCTTTCTTGGTCTCAAGAGGTTTCTTGGCGGCAGCAGTGGGGGCATCACCCGCGGAAAGAGCCGCAGCCTTAGCCCGTGTTAGACGCGTCGAAGGTCTGTTCTCATCATTCTCGTTCATGGTGCTCCGTGTACGGAGGCTGCGAGCCTGCTGCGGTGGATGTTAGAAGACCTTGTAATGGACAGAAGCCAGTAATGATCGGTGGGAGGTGAGGGTCTGGCAAAAGTCAACGCGTCATAGGAGTTGTGAAAAGCTTACCGTAGGCATTGTGAGGGAAAAGAAAGGTGAAAAGGATGTCCCAAGGTGAAGAAAATATAAAAGGGTTGATTATGGTTACTGCAGTTCCTATCCTTGTCGTCTAGTCAGCATTCCAATGAAGCAGTTACCTTGGTGAGTGGAGCTCGAAATACCAACGGCCTGGGGAACCACTGAGCACGTACAACGCGTGAATACTTGACTAACCTTAGCAACGGGTGATAATGCAAGTTGTCAGGAGTAGGATTAGGGGGGATTTGAACAGAATTCGGCGTGAAGCAGTCTTAAAATAGGGACATATATGACTTTTGTTGATGCTGTTGATAGGTGATCCGGATCACGTTAATTGCAAGCGCGCTCCTCCAGATTAAGATCTGTACAGTAGAAGATATAGACCAAGAAACAAAGATAGTTATGGCCAATGACGCGAGGAATGCAAGTTTATGTGAGGCTTTTTGGTTCCGCCCTTAAAAGTCAGGTTCCCCGTCGAGGAGGTGTTTGATGGGGTGGTTGGCAGAGAGAGAGGTGGTAAACTTGACAGGGCAAAGAGGATGTTTGGCCCTACTCTTAGCGTGGAAATCAGAGAAAAGATGCCCCACAGCACCACCAAGCCAGTCGAGTCGCGTGGAATGGTGGATTATCAAACCAAAAGCCGATATCCTGTACAGCGTAACGTAATTAAATGGTGATTATATGCAGATGTCAGCAAACCGGTCGATTTGCTGTTCTCCAAAAACGTATTATGAAAAGTTATGTACGTGATGAAAAAAGTGGAGAGACGCGGGAAGAAAGGGAAAGGGAAGAGTGCTTTCTTTGGAAGAAAGGAGGAGGAGGAGGAGGTAAGAGAGAGTTCGAAGGGAAAGATGCAGAAAGGGGGATGCAGGCGTAATAACTACGGCGAGACAACGACTACTGAGGTCATGCAAGTTTTGTTCCAAAGAACTTATAGCACCGTATGCGTATGTATTCAGACGATGACTTGGACAACGGTTGACCGTGAATTACACCAAAAATAGGCGGTAACAATACGGTCACGACTGGAAAGAATCGCTGGCCGCGGTGGAGGGAGCAGATCGTCATCCATGGTCGATGCCTGAACTCGGCCAGGCAAGAAGACGCCAGCGCGAGCAAAACGTGAGGCGGCGCGGCCACGACTCCCCAAACATTGCGCTGTTGCCCGGCAACCACGCCCTTTTTCTTCGCTTTTGTGTCATCTCGCCCGACGTGTTTCCCGTGTCGCGGCATCCCGTGACTAGCTCTTCATGAGCCACAGCTGAGCGTATAGTGGCGGTGCACTTACGGTCACGTGTGAAATCATAAGCCACAAGAGCGACCCAAGACCGAAAGACAATTTTGCTCCGCAACGCAAGAGTCGGCCGACGACGTCTCATCACCGGCCATTGACAGCGCTCCGACTGGGCTTTGGGTGGTGTCCGAGTCAATTTGCTACCGGTGTTTTGATCTTAACGTTTTTGTCCAAGCAGGCATGTGTAAGCAGTAATCTGTTGGCACATTTGCATACACTGTTACGAAGACTTGCGGTCCTACTTGGAACACTCTCCGCCGAATCAATTCTGGGGGTTTCCGTCTAATTTTCTCCCTAAATACTCCCCTACCTCATCATGCTTCAGCCTCGATTGGCCTTGACGGGCCTTCGTCTTCCGTTCAGATGCCTGTCTTCGGTATCTTCTAGATCCTACTCAAGTGTCATTCACGAAAAAGAGACTCCCCCGACAGAGTCATCGACGTCAACTTTCGACCCAAGCATTGCCTTTGCTCCGCCTCCTACACGAGATGATGCAGGCGTTCAAATTCGATCGTATAAGCCGAGGACTCCTGGTATCCGGCATTTGCGGAGGCCGATCAACGATCACCTTTGGAAAGGACGACCAGTACAGAAGTTGACGTTTCCCAAGCGAGGACAAAGTAAGGGTGGTCGTAACAACACTGGTAGGGTAACTATCCGGCATCGTGGTGGTGGTCACAAACGCCGTATTCGAATTGTCGATTTTGCACGAGCCGCTCCTGGGCCTCATTTGGTGGAACGAATTGAACATGACCCTGGCCGAAGCGCTCACATCGCGTTGGTCCGCAGTCAAGAGACCCAGCGCCTGAGCTACATTCTGGCCGCGGAAGGAATGAGAGCCGGTGATGTTGTTCAGAGTTATATGTCCGGTATCCCGGAAGACCTGTGGAAAAGTATGGGAGGTGTCGTGGACCCTGGTGTGCTCGCCGCAAGGACTGCTTGGAGAGGAAACTGCTTGCCATTACACATGATTCCCATTGGTACGTTGATCTTCAATGTCGGCCTGCGGCCGAATAAGGGAGGGCAGCTCTGCCGTAGCGCCGGTACTTTTGCAACCGTTATTGCGAAGGGCAGCAATACTCAAGCTGCACAGAACGAGCAGGCTCAAGAGGATGGCGCCGAGGAGAAGAAACCCTTGTCCCAGCGCGAACAGCAGAAGCAGGAACGGATTGCGCAGCATATCACCATTCGTCTCCAGAGTGGTGAAGTCCGCTTGATTCATAAGGATTGCTGCGCCACCGTCGGCGTTGCCAGCAACCCGAACTACCAGTACAGCCAGCTCGGAAAGGCTGGTCGATCGCGCTGGCTGAACATTCGTCCTACTGTCCGTGGTCTTGCCATGAACGCCATGGACCATCCCCATGGTGGTGGACGAGGAAAGTCCAAGGGTAATGTTGATCCGAAGAGTCCTTGGGGTCTACCGGTATGTGTTCTACTCTTGATACTATTGATATCTGCGTTCGATTCACGTGGGACTGACATTTTCTGTCTAGGCGAAATCCGGTTATAAGACTCGTCCCAAGTGGAAGGTCAATAAGGCTGTGGTTGTTCCCAGAGTCCGTAACCAGGGCAAGCGTCGTAGAGGATACAGCTAAGCGTATCCCATTGTCCTTCTTTCGTCTCTTCCTCTTCCCCTTTACGCAAGTGCGACTATGCTTCCTTTGCGAATAGTGTCCACGGAGGCTCGATTGTTTCTTTTTACAGCCCAGTCACTATCGCTTTCATGATGTCTGTCCGGATACCTTTTCTCATTGTACTTGCTTTCGTTGGGACTGCATGGGGATGACAGGTTCGTTCATCTTGTACTATACATCAGCTTTAGATTGGCCGTAGGGTGTATGATCTTGAATGCTCTGGGGAGCTCTGCATGTCTCTCTTGCTGTTCGGCTTTTGCGATCATGTTTTCTCCAATGCTGCTCGCTTTTCCTATACCGCGGCGTTGATTTTCTGTATTATATGCATTCAGTATCTAGATCCAATATGGAATATGGAAAGAGGTCTCTGTTTTCGTAAATGGTATATAGGAATTGAGGTGATAGCGATTCTTGGCCCTACTCTAAATTCAGGGTCAAAGTGCTCCGTCGGGATCCACGGGACATGCGAGCTCTGATAGGTGCGGCGAAGACTACGTAAGCCGGAGATGCCTGGACTCTTCCAGAAAGAGTAACGACTGGAGGACGCCCGTACTTATCGTCCTAAGACTACTACCGATACCAACTCCGATATGCAAATGACGTCCTAAACTCGGTAATATACTACTCATAAATCCCATTTCTTTCCCCTGTACCACAAGTGATGCGGCTGGTCTGATCCCCGGGTACAACAACCCCTTCAAATCTGCGTGTCTTGGTGGCGCTGGATTCGAACAACCTTAAGTCATTCTGATCCAGGTCAGATAGTTCTATCTAAAGAGCTATTCCCCGGGTTATGGGTCTGGAACGTCTCTGATATACCTCTATGAACTATAGTTCTCTCATCACCCAATGCTCCTGGCGCTGCCTGTCTTTAATAGTTCCGTTTTTGGGATCTGGTACCTCCTATCTGCCGACGGGTATCCAACCTCTACTTAATTGCAATCTGGGTTGAAGTCATTATTCGGTCTACTCCCTTCACAGTTCATTGTGTCGTCCGAAGGCCATGGAGGACTCCCTCGACGGACATTTCTTTCATCCAACTACCCAAACCTCCTCCACCCAATCACTACATACTTCGATGAATCACGATACCGCATCGGCTCATACAGAGCACATCGATCCGGACAGCTCCTACGTTCCCCGCCCGAAGCGCATTGCATGCGTCGTCTGCCGCCGAAGAAAATTAAGATGCGACGGGAGGAAACCAAGCTGTGGCACTTGTTCCAGGTTGGGCCACGAATGTGCTTACGATGAGGTGCGCAAGAAAAGTGGCCCAAAGAGGGGTTATGTGAAGCAGCTGGAGGCGCGGCTAGGTATGTGATGGATGGCCATACTCTGTCCATACGTTTGTTTATACTGCTTCGGTGCTAATGCTGTGCCTCACCAGCCCAAGTCGAAACCTTACTGAAGACGCAGGAGGTGAACCCCTCCCACAACAGCCAAGGAAATGGCGCCAACATCGCAGCACCGAAAGAGTTCGTCGGCATCCCGGAGGCGGTCCCGTTCACAAACAGTATTGATGCCCCTATGTCATCCCCCGAAGACGAAATCAGCAATATCCAGTCAAACCAGACATTCTTAACACCGGGATTGGATCGCACGGGTAATTTTGGGTGGGACATGATTAGTTTGGGACTGGAGGAGCCTCTACCTGACCGAGAAATCATTGAGGAGCTGTACGTATTGAACTTAGCATTAAACTCAAACCCCATGAACTATACTGATCATATCATGACAGAAACCAGATATACTTTGAGAAAATCCATCCTTATATGCCAATATTACACCGTCCTAGACACTTGGCAGCTATGGACCTAGCTCCAAGCGTACGACCCCCCGTGTGTCTACAATACATCACCTGGTGCCAGGCCGCGTCTGTTAGCGAGAAACATTCCAATTTACATGCGCTTTTCTACCAGCGGGCCCGCAAGTACGCAGAATTGGACGAAATGAAAGGACTGGGAGAGAATATCTTGTCTTTGCCATACTGCCAAACTTGGTTGCTCATCGGCACGTATGAATTCAGAATGATGTTCTTCCCCCGGGCATGGCTCAGTGTTGGTAAAGCAGCAAGGTTAGCACTTATGCTCGGCCTGAATCGATTGGATGGTATGGGTCTTGAGGTAAAACAATCGTTACCGCCAGCAAGAGATTGGACAGAGAAGGAAGAACGACGGAGGGTGTTCTGGATGGCTTTCTGTATCGATCGGTTTGCAAGCGTCGGGACTGGGTGGCCAGTTCTTATCGATGAGAGAGATGTCAGTGATGCCTCTACCTATATCCTTGCCTGGCTTTTTCTTTTAGTTCAATGGCTGATCCTGTCTGAGTAGGTCAAGACGAACCTACCTGCTACCGAAGAAGCATTCGTCAAGAGCAAACCGCAGAGGACTCTACGCGTTGAGGACATTCTGGCGGGTGATGGACTCTCCACCTTGTCGTCTTTCGGGAGTGTTTCTTTCATGGCATACATGTTCGGACGGAACCTCTCGCATCTGCATCGTCCTGATCCTCAAGACAACGACCATGACTTGAATGGGCTATACTGGCAGCGGCACAGATCGCACGACAACGTACTATTGCATTTCGCCCTCGCAATGCCCAACCATCTCCGACTACCAGCTGGAATGTCTGATCCCAATGTCATCTTCTGTAACATGGCGATCCATACTTCCACGATATGCCTTCATCAAGCCGCTATCTTCAAGGCCGAGAAAAATCGGATGCCCGAGCAGATTATCACTGAAAGTAAACGAAGGTGCATTGTTGCTGCTGATCAAATCTCCAATATTATGAAGATGATTAGTCACATGGACCTAACGGCTGTAAGTCTGAGGATACCATTGCCTCATCAATTTACTATTGTCATAGACTGACCGATTCTAGTTAAATCCTTTCATGTCATACTCTGTCTATGTTGCTGCGCGCGTATTCGTACAGTATCTTAAATCTCGCCCCGACGACTCAGCTGCCCGTTCCTCTCTCGGCTTCGTCTTCGCCGCGCTCGATGCCATGAAGAACAAGAACCCCTTGACTGAATCTTTTCTTGTTCAGTTGGACGTCGATATCGAAGGTACTCCATTCCGAGACATCCGACAAGCAAAACGGCCTCGTATCTCAAACAATGTGCAAAAAAAGGTAAACCTCCGCACCGAACGACCTCCTTGTATCAAGAGCTCTAATGATCAACAGGGTCGCGGCTGTACACCGCTCGTACCTTTGGATCAACACCAAAAGCAACAAACCGCAATTGAAGAAGGGCCCGCCAGGTTATCGGCTGCCTCACAGCAACACTACTACACGCCCTCGTCTCTACCCTCTCGTGAGGAACGGAGTCTTCCACAACTACAGAACGGGAACCCTCCTGGTTCAGAACCTTTCGCAAAATCGCCGTTTAATCTCAGCTCGGGAACCGAGTCTGGGCCAGGAACTGACAAAGGGCTTTCACCCGAGTTCACCGACAAAAGTTCAAATAATAGTCCAGTATCAAACGATACATCAATACTAAACCCGACTACCATACACGACCCGTCTTCCTCCACCTACATGCCCCTAGATCAGTCCTCGTCTCTAAAGCAGCAGGCTTCATCCTCATCATCTCTCAATCAAACCAACCATCAACAATCACATACCTCTCTCGACAATAGTAGCGCAGTAAACATGAATATGGTTACTAACCCATTTGGCGCATTTGATATCGCCTTTTCTTCCCAGTTATATCCAACGGGCATGGTGACTCCCCTCGACTCTACCGGTTCGGAAGGGTCTATTCCCATGCCTACGTGGGATTTTGGCGCGCCCCAAACGTCGAACGGTGAAAATGTCGACATGATCACTACCGGCATGGAATCACTAGAAGCACAGTGGGCACAATTACTAGGTTCGGGTCCTGGTACAGGCACCGGTGCAGGTACGGGTTGGGACTCATGGCGAAATTAAGTATAGGCTAGACTTAATTTCTGGTTTGCAACCTTTTTTTGTGTATACTTCTCAATACCCCGATTTGGAGCGCGGCGCTTTATTATACGAAAGTCATGTGGAACAATATAAAGATATATTCATTAGTTTAAACCAAGCGAGGCCAATATCAAGCAAACAATACTCCCGAAATGAACAAAATTAGATACCCCACTGCTCGTAAAGATGTTGAACAAGAAGAAGCAAGCAACAAAAGGGTGAGAGGCAAGGAAAGAAAGAGAGAAAAAGAATACTGGCTAAAGGATAAGAGAAAAGCTAGCGAGTGTGAGTTTAGCACTGGTTAGGGAACTCCCTGTCCTCAGGAGAAGTAGGGAAGACACCGGCTTCAAGCAGGTCACTCATATCCCAGCCAGGGGCACCCTCAGTCTTCCAGGTCCAGAACACCCAGCCGCTCTTGAGTTCGAAGGCGTCCAGCTGGGCCTCGATGAAGCGGCGCATGTCCGACCGCTCTTCCTCAGAGAGCTGGGCCACAGTACCAGTAGCCAGGGTGGAGCAATCGCCAATAGCCTTATCAGCAGCATAGGAGCCATCGTAGCGAGCGCCGTTGCCCTTGCCATTGAGGTACTTGGCGCAGTCGGTCACAGCACCGGTCCACTCACCCACAATAACAGGCTTGTCAGATGCTTCCAGGTGCTGGTGAGCGAACTGGCAGACGGCATTGACGTGGTCGTCGATGTCCATGGCGATGAGTCCGTTATCAAACATATGGTAGTGGTGTGTGTCCATCACAACCTTGCTGCCCTCAGTTTTGTACCCGTTCCAGCTCTCTACGGGCAGGAAACCATCTCCATATACCACGGATGTGTCAGCGTTGTACTTGTTGACGACACCATAGACGGAACCGTAGTACTCTTGCAGCTTGCCCTGGTCTACTCCACCAGGAACGTTGGGCTCGTTGATAGCTTCGATGGCAGCCACGGTGTCAGAACCAAGGTACCGCTCGGCCAACAGATCGAAGGCATCAAGGGTCTGCTGAACAGTGTCCCCTTGCTGCCATTGGATGGCTCCTCTCCGACCGCTGTTGTCGAATCCATTTTGAGATCCGGGTGCTGGTCAGGTAATTAGCCATGCTTATACAGCCTTGTTTTGATCTTGAGCCCAATGGACACTTACCACCGTGTAGGTCGATTAAAACTTTGAGGCCTGCCGCTCCAGCCCATTCTATCGCTTTGTCAAGGTACTCCAGCTGACCATCAACATAAGGGTCTCCCTCAAGGGGTCCAAGAGCCCAATAGCCAATGGGGATCCGGACGTGGTTCAGTCCGGCAGCAGCCATGTTCTGGAAATCGCCAGAGGAGACGAAAGACTTCCAGTGAGCAGACAAGCGGGCTTTAGCCTTATCCTTGCCCAGAATCCGAGTCAGGGACCACTCGTCGACAGCCTCGGCACCAGCTTCATCGAAAATCAAAGGTGTAATCCAAGGCTCAAGCACGAGCCATCCACCAAGGTTGACACCACGGACTTTTTCGTTGCTATAATCGAAAGAACTTGCGCGGGGGTCTAGGCGACTGCTCTAACCGTAAGGGACTATGCATAGTAAAAGGGGGTAATATCACAGTTCTACTGACATAGTTGCAGCTTGTGTGCCAGCTGACAGCAGACCAAGGACTAGAAGCGCCTTTTTCGAAAGTCTAGTGAACATTTTTTCTTGAACACTGTTGATCTCTGATGCTGATCTTTAGGAATAAAATAGGAGGCTGGGATTGAGATTGTTTGCTTTGGTGAGATGTAGCGTCAGTTGGAATGGAAATCACTTGCTTTAAGTAAGGAGTGCTCACAAGCTGGTTTTTGACCTCTGGACGCAACCAACAGATGACCGTAACCAAACACAGATTTTGGAACAAAGTCTAGACTCGCCACTGCTTTCGGGTAATGTCGATCCTAGATCTGATCGAGCATCTAGAGATGGATCCGCGCAGTGGCGTTTGTGACAGCTCCGAACACAGGAGGTAAGAATAGAATAACAATATGATAGCATACACTAACACAGCAACAATAGCTTTCTTCCCCCGGTCCGCCGTCCAGGAACGTCGTGGGCACGATCGCGCCCCACTGTCTCAGAACGACGCCTCTATCGAGGGATCCGTTTGACGGAATCCGGGGAGGACCCATGGAATATCAGGAGCATAGGGTCATGTTGACGAGCGCGGAGTTGTTGAGCGCTATGTGGAACCATAGATGATGGCGAACCCCATATTTGCGGTGAACAATAGTTTCCATGGGTTCATGGGGGGGATCTTTGGCATCGGATCCGGGGAAGAGCGACCCTTATTAGGGTTTGTCGTCCAGGTACCCATCAGCCACCGGGTACCTGATCGGGTGTACACAGCCGTCGCCGATAGCATCTTCACCTCCCTCAAAGCGGATTTGGGAGTATAGAATCGCTCAAGTTGGGTCCATTACCTGGTATGCATCGAGGCTCTTTCCAAAAAGGTGCGTTGTCATCTCGTAACGCGGACAGCTCTTTGTGTGACAGTGGAACCAGATATCGGGGTCTTTTGGTACATAATGCCTGCAGTCGCGCTCACTGTTGTCAAGTACTGCATTCGGACGGAATGAAGACAGATTCTCAAAGCAACAGAGGGTTAAATATGGGGTTGAGCTTGAGGGTTACGAATCACTGCCGGATTCGGAAACGTCACGTGGTTCCTAGGCACATGCATTCTCCATGACCAACGCAAACCCTACTTTGATATTGCTTTGGTATTATTTTGATATGGCTCGTTGTCGACAGATGAATTGCTGTTCAACATGGCAGATCGAGTTCATCTACATTCCATAATGAATTCCTATTGTCAATACCTCCTACCCTATAGGCACTACGAGTTGAAAGGCCATGGATTGTCATTACCTTGACATCCCATCCTCGGTCCCCCAATGTCGAGGAAGACCTTGCTATTCTCGAAACACCTTTTCTGCACCCAAATAGGCGTTGAAAATTGCGCTTCCCACTCCATATCGTTCCTACCGGGTCTGTCGAAGTATTTGAAACTCCAAGATGTCAGACCACCTCCAACACATTTTTTCGCACTATTGCGGAGTTCTTGCCCATGATCAAGACTAGCCCACAATCTCCCCCTAATAGTATATCTTGCAAAAACTATTTTATACCATCCCTCGCATGAGCCTTCAGGTCTTGCAACCGGCCAGGGGCGCCTTATGTGACCTATCTTCAGTTCATATGTGTATCTCCCCTTTTTCCAACTTCCCCCGTGCTTGAGATTTAGGGGGTTTTCCGGACGATATATGTCACATCCGTGAATAATTCGCATGAAGCTGTTGAGGCATTCTTGTTTGCTGAACTGCGTAGCTCCCTTTGTGAGGCTTATAGAGTACTTGTGCTCTTCCGGGGTACCCTTGTAGAAAACGCGCTCGTCCTGCCAGTTCGCGTGTTCGGGCGGTTGTACTTCGTTACAGTATGTCTGGTAGGTCTTATCCGCCAGGTGGCTTTGGACATAATGACTGAGAGTGTCGCCCTTGTTCCCCCTGCAATGAAAGTGGTCGCGGTCCTCATCCTTGCAAAGTGGGTTTTCCACCTCCAAGATTGATGCCCGTGCTGAGATGACTTCGTTGAGAACGAACGATGCAATCGTGAGGTGGCCTCTCTCATTAGGGTGAAACCACTTGCCCCATCGATTTGGGAGTTCAGATCCCCAGGAGCGCTTGTCGAGAAATGCCGTGCAGCCGTGGTCATCCCTAGGATCTGGGCCCCCACCGTTGAGCATGTGTATGGCTTCCGCCGCAGGGTTCGGGCTATTATCAAGGCTTCCATTGACCCCATGGCTGACCTCAGGCTCCAGTTGACCTTTATCCACAGCTGTATTCCTCTTTTTGACCTCATCATGCAAAGATTTCCTTTTCGTGTCTGGCTTGAAGAACTGCAAATTAGGCTGTTCAGGGTCGGGGTATTCCCCGGTAGACCCAGGCCAGCAAAACTGCCCAGCAACCCGTTCATCAGAGGCCCAGTCGTCCCAATTTGCAAAGCGTAGCCTGTACTTTACACCCCTCTCTCTCATCTTGTCGATGGATCTCTCAATTCCGGCATTAGTGATCCGGACCAATTCATTATATTCTTTTCGTCTCTTTAAGTCCACCGGCAAACTGTTAAACGGACCCCCAATAGCCGGGAAAGCCCAGTTGTTATATTTTGCGCAGTCATCTGATGCAGTTTCGATGTCATGGAAGAACTGAGCGTAGCTGACGAAGACCACAATGCCGGTGTTTGGTTTCATGTGCTTTTCAAGTTCAACGAGGATCGATTCGAGGGCTGGCTCTAGAACGTATTCTGCGTTGAGTTTTGCTCTCTCGATAGCTGAATCACAACTCTTCTTATTGTAAGCCAGAAAGATGCAGTCTTTCAGAACATCAATCTAGCAAGTTTCATGTTAGTCTCGCCGTACTTCAGCAACTTATAAGCAATGTCAGGCTGTCCTCACCAAGCAGAGGTCGTTCCCTCCCGCGGTCAGAACCACCAAATCCATATCAGTGTCCAGTTTCTTCGCTTGCTCAAGGATTTCTTTTGACTTGGCACCACTGCAGGCCAGCCATTGAAATTTGAGTGCGGATACTCCAAGGGCACGCTCGAGCATTACGACATACGATTGATCGTATCGAGAACATTTGCGAACTTCAGGGCTCGTATCCCACAGCCGACCAGCTCCAATCCCAGCAGTAAAACTGTCACCAATAGCACCCCATTTGCTGATCCAGTGCATGTCGGAGGGGTCTTTTCTTGGGTCTCCACGGGCAAGGTTCTCGCCCCGAGGGCTGATGGTGTAGTCGAGGCTCTGGCTAGCATTACCACTGAGGGCGCAGCCGCCGAAGGGTCCCATCAGCAGTGACAGTGCCAGCAGGAGCATGGCAAGAGCTGCCATTATGAGGGAGATCTGATGCTGACGATGCTATTACAAGGGATACCTTTCATCAAAGGGGGATAATTTGGGCTTCAGAATACGCTCCATAAAATGTGAATATAGAGAGGAAGGGAAGGCTTTCTCATAGCAAATATAAAGATTTATATACTTTGGCCTATTGCACATGAGTGAATCCAATTGTCTACAAATGGCAGGGACTTGCACCTCAATGAGTTCCTTTTCCAGCATGCTGTGAAGGAAAGAGCCTATGAAGGTGAATCGTGCAGCTATAAATATCTTACCCCGCTGAACTGCACGCCATTTTACAGCTTCTAGGTATAGCCTAGAGCTGGTGTTTGCCACATCGACATGCACTATATCGCTCTTTGTTTAAAACTATTGTGAGACGATGTACCTCGGCATAGACGCGAGTTCACTGGATAGTTGTGCTTTTGAACAAGATGCACTTGTAGGTATACATTTTACATAAAACCCATGTTTCTGAGATAGGCAACAATTCACCTTAAACTACAGGGCTTCTTTGTCTTGGAAATGAACGTTTAGACAATATCATATTAAACATAGTACTTCGAACTCCATATCAAGAGACTAGGAAGCGCCAAGATAAAGCAGAGTATCTACCCCTTCTTCGATATTCCATTCTTCGGTTTTCCCTTCTTCGGGTTGGATCCAAGCCAAGTCTTGTTTGACCCCTTTGGCCAATTTTTACTGAAGCAAGGCATTGGTTGGTACTTGCCATCACTAGTCCATTGTTTCTTCTTACCCGACGCCTTCCCCAATGCTTCAACGAGGGTGCCATCATCCAGGTCAACTGCCCAAACCATGGTCCCTCCCAAACAACGCCTGTTGGCGAAGTCGATCTTGAGCTTCAAGGTTTGGACATCATCCCAGCTAACCCACTGATTGGTATTCCACGTGGCAACCTTCACCGCGGCATCTCTATAGAAGGTAACAGTAGCACCCTTCCTGAGTATTTCGTGGATCTCTGTTGCCGAAATAACCCCGGGAACATGGGTACAATCTCCAGCGGGAGCTTCTCCCTCCTTAAAGACACAACCAGGTGCCATGCAATTAGGGTCTGCCATGGTGAAGCTACGGCCGTAGAAACCTAGTCCCATAACAACCCGGGCCGGATTGATGTTGTTGCGCCAGAGAAGCTCAAGACCCATGTTAATCTCGGTCAGATTGGTATGGGCAAGCGCATGTGGTCCAACCTCCTTCCCATGTGCGTCCCAAAGGCCGTCTAAGAAGAACAGAGCAATTTTAGCATCAGCACATGAGAAAACTGTTGGAAGAATTATCCACAAAGCTAGGATCACTCACGTATATCATAGGTCATGACGTTAAACCAATCGACATATGGTTCCAAGTTCACAATGTCAAATCCTTGAAGATACCAGTAGCTAGCCGGCTGTATCGGGCAAGAGGTTAGCATTTTACCGTTCAAGGACTTGTCGCGAGCAAAACACGACTTACCAGGGTTATGGTGAGGCCAAAGTGCCGCGGCAATTGATCCAGCCGCTCTCTTAGTCGTTTCACTAGAGTGACATAGTTGGCATAGTCCTCTGGCCTGCCGCCTCGATCGTCTGCGGTAGGATATTCCCAGTCGAGATCAACGCCGTCGAAGTCATTATGAAGCATGAAACTAACCAGTGACTCAAAGAAAGCATCTTGTGCCGACTGTGAGCCAGCAAGGTCCGAAAAGGTAGTCCTAGTGGGACCCGGATCGTTGAAGTCCCAACCTCCAATCGCAATATATACCTCAAGACCATTTTGACGACCTTTCAGCTCGGTGAGGGTTCGGTAGCGCTTCGCAGTTGCATCTGTCATAGGAGCAATCCGGAAAGTCTTAGGGTCAATCAGGGCAAAAGCAAAATTCAGGTGGGAGTATATTCCTAGAGGGATATCCTTGGGTTCCACCTCTAGAGCGGGCAATCGGGCCAGATCAGTAAAGGATATGAAGCTAGGAGTAGGAAGTACTTACGTCCACACGTTCTTCTCTCGGGGTTCCATGCTTCGTAGTATCCGATAGTCTTTGCCTTCGAGCTTTTCCCTCTACATTCGGGAGATACTACCTGTTTGTCGCCACAAAACTCTTTCGTGGTTCCTGAAGTATTATTCCCTTAGCCATAGCAGATCATCAGATAGGATTAAGGGAACAGGAATTCTCACCGCAGAAGCCATGCTTACTACAGCACACTTTCAGAGGGCAAGTAGACATATTAGACCATTCTTTACCCCAGCCTGCATCGCATTCGCTCTTTCGGTCGCAATTAGAGGTACACTTTGATCCGCAAAACTCAGGTCCAAAGCCACAGGAGCCTGTACCACTCGAGTCTCTGGGAGTATTGATCAGCACTTGATATGATTTCTAAACGTAGCAATATCATGGATCTCACATTGGCCCACAACAACCTAGCCGGCAAGGCTTTGACTTGGAACACGTCGTATCATCATTAGGGAGAGGCAGGAGCTGTAGGCTTGAGAAATGGGACGCCAACGTTTCGACCACGATCTGGCAGAGGAATAAGAAGAAAAGGCCGGCAGTTGGTCCTTTGAGCAGCATTATGACAGAAGGAAAAAGGACTAACTTAAGGGTTTTGTTGAGTATATTTGAGACCCTGCTTGTATCACGCACTGTGGGAGGGTAGAGAACTGTTTAAATACTCAGCTTTGTGCAATCATGACTACTTCTAGAGGACGTTAACCTGCACTACCTTCCAGATGTCTTATTCACTTTCTTAAAAATCTAGCATTCACTTTGTCACAGCACTTCAACCGGTAAAGTCAAAGGTGGTGGCAAATACCCCCTGTTTGGTCACTATTTAAGGAATACTGCTGCTGTACTCCTCGTCTCCCTACTTCGCCCTTAAAACTCATGCTGAAATATTTGACTAGCTAAACTGCTTGCCATTGTTCTGTATTAGACAGATGACCCATAACTTCCCTAAGAGCATCCGTTCCTTGTGTTGGGTAAGCTGGCATTCCTCCCCCGGGCTCCCAGAGATGTATTAACACTGTGTGACAGCTCTCTATGGGAATCATGGCTACCAGATTTGTCATGAATGTCTTGCTTCTTCTATCGTTGCTCTTTGCGTCTCTTAGCAACGCCGGTCACTCAGCCTGGGAGGCAGGCGCTACCACGTTCACGTCTGAATGGATCCACATAGATCCGTCTTTTGACTTCCCCACCTGGCCTCATGAGACCATCCGCTATTACTTCAGCACCCCTGAAATGAAAGAGGAGTTTGCAAATGATATAAGGGCCGCATGGCAACTCTGGTACGCTGCAGGCTTACCAGAGACCTTCAGGTTTATCGAGTATTCAAGGGCCCGGTGCGAGGCAGCGCCCGACGATTGTTTGCTTATAATTGCAGAGTATGGGGCACCGTCATTTTTCACCAGCCTTGGAAGGCAGCGCATCGACCCCTGGGATAGGAACGTTATGTACTTAGCCTTCCAAGGAACTGAAGATGAACACGACAAAGCCGTGATAATTGCTCACGAGATCGGACATGCCTGGGGTCTCCTGCATGAACATCAAAACCCCTTGTTTTGGCAGTGGGCCTTTCGGGGGACCCGATCTGATTCACTAGTCCAGTTCTACTGCGAGAATGTGCTGGGGTTTGCTGAGGTAGAGCATGAGGTCAATAATACTCTATTACTCTGGGCCGAGGACGGTCCCTGTCGCGATCAGGCTCGGGCTTATGAGTTTGGTTTCCTGGCTTCCGAAATGATTCCATGGAGGCCGCGATATCAACAACCACATCGCTTGTGGCCTCATGATTCTGACGTGGATTGGGATTCTATCATGATTTACGAGTCCCACTCTTTTGGAGTCGATGATGAGCATGGCAACAAGAAGCTTACTCTAGTACGAACGAAGGACCTTCAGGTTATCCCAGAGCCTGGCACTGTTACTGAACTCGACGTGGTTGGGATGGTGCATCTCTATCATCCCAGATATGGGAAGTTCCGGGAGGTATTTCACAACGATGCAAGTAGCGCTTGGTACGCCGTGTTCAAAGACAAGATCAAGAACTGTCTGATTAAAACCTGAGGCAAGAGTTGTACTGGACTGTGGCACTGGGTAATAGTCTTTTCAATGTCAAACTTATCTCGGTCAATGTTATACAATATTTCTTCAATATAATTGGGTTTGTAGTGCACGGTTTCACTGGGGACATCCCACATTGCTTGTAGTGAGTGTCACTATGCTTGCTAAGCTTTGAATCACAGTGGTCGGTGAGGAGTAAAAGTGAATCGATATCAATCCTGTCAAATTCTCTACCATAGAGTGAATTTGCTCATTCACTGCATTCATGGACAGTCAAAGAATGCCTATCTATAAATACTACCTAGGCTCTAGTCCTCTCTCTCCCAGACTTATGCCTAACCATCTTTCCTCCAGATCAGTGACCATGGTACCCTTCCAGCTGACTCTTTCTCTACTCCTCGCCGTGATAACAACTTCTGCCAATGCCGTGAGCACCACCTGGGAAACTCATCCTTCCCACCCAACTTTGCCAGGAAATGCTCCCAACTGCAACAAATGGTACACTGCAAAGAAGGGCGATGATTGTTCCACTGTGCAACGTGACTATGGTATCTCCGCCGACGAGTTTTTCCGTTGGAATCCGTCGGTCTCCAAGGACTGCAAGAAGAACTTTTGGGTGGATACATCGTACTGTGTTGGATTAGGGCCAGCTATCACCACCGGGACACCGACCCCAACGGTTACAACCTCGGTTGGCAGCTCGCCGACAACCACGTCTATACCGACCACGAAGACTACGCCCATCACCTCTATTCCAAGCGGCGATGGGACCTCAACATCTACTGGTTCCAGCTCTACAACGACTAAGACCACCTACACGTTCAATCATCCCACTACTACCTGGACTCCATCTCCGCCTCCGCGAGAGACAGCATGGCCTCCCACAAGAACCCAGTCAGGCCAGCCCACATCATGCACCAGATGGCATGAGGTCATGATCGGTGACACCTGTGACACAATCACAAGCCGCTACAGCTCGTGGATAACAAAGGAAGATTTGTGAGTAACTCTAACCCCCCCCCCAACGTGATTGGAACAGGTCGGGCAGCTAATTTCATACTCAGGCTGGAGTGGAATCCGGGCCTCCAGGAAGATTGTAACTCCCCTCTCGTGGGTTATTTTTTATGCGTCATGGTCAGACCGACTGACTACATCATAACCTATCCAACTGGTTCAACCCCGGTGATCATTCCTACACCTACGCCTTACACGCCACCACCTCCAGTTTGCCCTAATACCACGGATACTGAGCTCGTGCCCTCGCCAACACAGTCAGGGATGCCCAGCAAATGTCAACTATACTACCATGCTACCACTGTACGCAACTCGAACCATCAACCTCGTTTATTACTCGCTGTTGCTAACGTGTAACTATACAGGGAGACTCCTGTTCCAAGATCTTGTCGCAGTACAACATGCCCGAGAAACTTCTTCATGAATGGAACCCGGCTCTTGGTCCCGATTGTAAGGGCCTACTGCCTGACTACTACTACTGTCTCCTTCCCAGCGGGTTCGTGCCCATGCCGCTCACCGTCACCACAGCCCCGGCTCCCACTCAAACCGGGATCGCCAGCAACTGCAAGGCTTGGTACCGGAGGAATCAGTCCGAGACGTGTGCTGATATAGTGCGCTCTTTCGGTACATTCTCAGACGAGGACTTCAAGGCCTGGAATCCTGCTGTTGGCCAGAAATGTGCTGGACTTATCGTAAGGATATTCTTCCAGGAGATTGGAACCGTAGCGCCAACTAACCTTCGATTGCCCCTATTAGGATGGTAACTGGTACTGTGTCGCCGTGCCTGGTACTCCTTCCACGCGCACTGCGCCTGTCCCAGCTTTCCCAACAAGCGTTCCACGCCAGCCAAATGTTATCAAGAACTGCACACAATGGTGGCATGTATCCGAGTCAGTGATCGACCACCTCCCCAATGTTCACTACTAGATTCTAACAGCCCTTTTTTTTTATAGTGACGACGACTGCTATGACGTCGCCCGGAAGAACGGTATCACAATGGACGACTTCCTCGCATGGAACCCCGACGTACGCTCCGGCCAATATGACTGCAGGGTCCTACCCATCGACCACGAAGTCTGCGTCGACATACGACCCAAACCGCCCATTCCCGGATGCACGCCCATCACCACAAATACAACCACCTCATCCAACATGACCCTATACCCGCCAACCAAGACCTCCTGGCACAGGACCCTGACCAGCACAACGCTCGTTACTCAATGCGAGGACCCATCCTCATCCACCTGCGCCACGGCAACAATAACCACAACGAGGCGGGTGACTCTACCTCCACCCCCCACCACCGCACCCCCCAATACCACATTTGTGACTGCCACATCAGCGTCGACTCAGGATACAGACTCGTCTTCCCCAGGCTCCGGGAAGTCACCTGTGGACTCAACTCTACCTCCCCCTCCTTCTTCACCGTCCTCCAGCTGTCCCTTCACCAATAGTTCCATGACGTCCATTGTCCCGTCAACGAAAAGCCCAGTAGAGAGCAGTTCCGGGCCGATGACCCGCCCAACTCAGGTCCATGGTACTACCGGGACCGGATCCCCACCACCTGAGGCTGAAGCTTCCTCGACCATGACTGTGACTACGACTATCACGACACAATGCTCCTCCACTACTACGTCTATGGTGAATACGAGCTCACCGGACGATACTACAGTCGTGACGGCCACGATGACGACTCGATGTTCGACTTCGGGTACGAGGACCTCACAAAGTCAGACGGCAAGTGAGCCTTCAATGACCATAATGCATGGATGATTCAATCTAGTCAGGGTAGCAGTACTTAGCAACTCATATCGTTTGTAATGGAAATTTCAATTTTGTTGGGAAACCTTACATGTAGATTTGGGGATGTGGGGAGGAATGGCTTTTTTTTTACTTTAATGACCCTCTAGGAGAACCACGTGCATGAGCGTGATAATTAACATGATTTGATTTTCTACATAATCCAGAAGAAACAATCCCTTGGATTGTAAGGATCAGACTAGGGAAATGCAAGTAAGATAAACTTAGCAGAGACCCAAGCTTTCCTGAATGTGAAGGTGATCGCCATCATATGGATTGTACTATGTATAAAACTTCAGTATACCCAACCCAATTTACAATATAACCAACATTCATAAACCAGGATAAATACCTCCCTACTTACCTACACAGTGAAGACAAGAGAATCTCTCATATAAAACCACCAGCAAACCAGCAAACCAACCCCAAAACCCACCACCAAAATCCCTCACATCTCCACTTCCACTCCTCCCCAGCCAACATCCCACCAAAAAAAAGAAAAAGAAAAAGCAAAAGGAAAAACCCACCCACAAAACTCAAAACCACTTAATTAAGGGTCCTAACCCATTTAATAAGCTATAACACGACACATCTATAGACTAAAATAGCCCTAAGTACAGAACCCCAACCGAGCGTTTGCCAGCCAATCTAGAGTCCCATCGACACCACTAGCCCGCAGCTTGGATCATGGGTTCTGCAGATATCGTCGCATAGATGCAGACAGACTCCACATCCCCAGCAAGGCTTGCATATTAACTTATTAAGTAAGTCCAGAATGGTGGCAGAGAGAAGGGCCAAACATCTGACAACTACTGTACTTGACACCCCATCTCGGATCTACGGGCCACTTTACATGGTGGATGACCACTCATGGCTTTGTGTCTACTATCACCTACCTGGGGGGGGAGGGGTAGCTTTTCTCTGATCAATAACACATCTCGGCTTTGAGAGGTCGTTTACCCACTCACGCTTATAGCTATCCCGGGCTAATTCTCTTAGTTATGGTGTGGGTGGGGGGGAGACAAGTCTATTTCTTGTTTGGGGTTAGATTGTGATGTGTGGCCACTGACCAGCCATTATATATTGCTCGCATCGATTGCCTAAGTTAGAGTATAGGTTTTTTTACCAAGGCTGAGTCGGGATTTGGGATGTCCGTATGGGGTAATTGGGGAGGTGTTGTTATACACTAAGGAAGGGAAGAGAGAGTGTGTTTTAGTATCTTATGTGGTGATGGTGAGAGGTTCGTCTGGATTGGGAACCGGCGGCGGTTGAGAATATGTGGCGGCTTGGACACTGGAGCAGGTCAAGAGAGATCTCCCTTAGATAGGCAATAGAGATAGATTGGCTTTAGATCTCTGGATGCTGCATCGGGCTCTATAATACGAATCTATAAGGACTCAAAGGAGGTCTTTGTAGAGGTGCATTGTAGATCCATCCAGAGCTTCATGAGATACGGTATATTTAGCACGGAAACATATCTTGCCGGCATAAACAACGCATAGAGAAATTGTCTTACATTACTCCCGTATACGACTCTAGATGCTCGACATATACGCGGTGGAGTATCTTCGCTACGCGTCAAATGGTCTGGACACTAGACCATCATCCTCGGCGGGTCAGAAGGCAGCCTCGGTGAGTAGGAGCAAATAACGACGATGCCGAAAGATACGATGACGCCAGTGGATCTGACAGACTGCTTAAGTGGAGAGAAACGGGGACGTTAACATCCGAGAATCGTTAAGTGTCCGTTCCCGGGCGAAATCGGTTACGGGAGTGAAGCCGAACGTTGTCAGGCTAATGTCACATCTCACATCCAATTTGATTAACCAGGGCCTTTCATGGAGCAGGTTTGATTGGCATGTGTTCTAACTTCTCGGCAGTTGAGCAGGCCAAGGACAAGACAAGAGATAGAGAAGAGAGGGGAAAAAAATGGTTCCTTCGATTACGAAATTCCACATTCCCTGTAGTTAATTACCTCTCGAATTTGACTCCATGATGCCGATCATGGTACCGAAGGAACCGGCGAATTAAGACGTTCGTATTTGACAAGCCACTTGATATCCATTGCGAGTTTAAATGCACAACAATTTGGGCCTTTTCCACTGTCAGCGAATCCTTCGCGAACATAACCGAAGTCAAAAGATCACAAAATTGATTGCGTTCCTTTAAGTCTTCAACCGAGGTCAGGTCGCTTAATTGGAAAAAAAAATAAAAATAAATAAAAAATCCCCGATTATCGTGTTGTTAGTCACGGGGGTCGGAAGAGCCCCAGAATCAGGCCACAATGGCATTAACTTTGGAAGGGGGTTCCGGACTCAAAGAAAAAAATCACCCCATTTGGTCCACTTTTCTTTAGTTTACCCGTGGATTAGAGGAATTAGAAGGATAAGAGAGAAAGAAAAGACCTCTGGCTATATTTTCCGATCACACGACATCATTTTTTCCCTACTCATCCCTGGTTGAGATCCTTGTCAGGCTGGGATCGTGTTCCTGTTTCTTTTCTTCCAATCCTTCCACGGCTTCTATACCGGTTACGAGTCAAGGATCGAGGCTGAGATACCTCTCTCCCTTCCGATAGCTACGTGTAGCTCTGGTAATTGTATATGATGAACCTCCCGGAGGATTCTGAAACCATACCCACTGGTGGATGATGTGAGCCTGGCATGAAAACCGTTTAGGGTTAACCGGAATAAACTACTAGTAGTAGTAGATATGTGCAGTAGTCCACTCATAATTAATATAAAGACTCTTCCCTTAGACTCGGTCGGGAATCGGACCCGAATAGTTCGGGTCCATTAGTTAGGAGAAAGTCCCATCCAGATGTCCTTGTCCGTCTGGCATTCGAACTAACAGGACGGAATGCCCCGTACACGGTGAGACATGGGGAACGTCTTCGGTAGAAGGAGATTGCCTCAAGTGTCGTAGAGGCGTACTTCAATTAAGCGAGCTACAAATTAAATAAAAGGGGGTCGTTCAAGGACACTGACATTCGATGACTTCATACCGAGTCAGTAGAGTTCGATAGGGTCAATTACGAGTAGTATAGTGGTATAGTATAGGAGACATATCTTCGCAAGACTCATCCTGCCGAGCTTCAGAGAATCAGACAAGCAAACTGCACGTCATTCACATCTCCATCTCCGATAAATCCCATAATATCTGACTGACCGTCACTGATTCTAATCCAAGGATCAATATCAATTCCCCCAAGTCCAATCATGTCGAAGCGAAAATTAATAGGCACCTCCTCTGACCCACCGCACCACGTGTTTCATGAAGAGAATAGGCGCTCACCAGCTCAATCCGGAGAGAGACAGGGAAGATCCTTCTCATGGAATGGATCACAAAAAGAAAAAAAAAAAAAAAAAAAGAAGAAAAAAAAAAAAAAAAAAGAAAGGAAAGGAAAAAGAAAGGAAAAATAGCAAAGACATGCTAGTGCATAGTAGTATTCCCCGTCGCGCGGCCCTGCATCAGACCACTGGGAAAGAGAAGAAAAAAAAAATTGCTATCCTCGGTAGGGAATATCGCCAGGTTTCGGGATCCTTTTGTTTTCTCTGGCCTGACGACATGCGCCTCGTAATGATGTTGAATTTATCAGTATTTTTGGCTTTTTTTCCTGCCTTTTTCTTTCCCTCTTAGGGTAAAAAGATCTGCCTGTGAGCGCTTTTTTTCCCGCTTGGGATACCATGGGAGGGTTCCGTGTGGATGATGGTGATGCTTGCTCCCTTACCCTGGCTTTGGTATCATTAATTATTTTTAATTGAACTGTTTTTATTTATTTAATCCTCAATTATTATTTTTATTTATTTATTTTATTCTTATTTTTTATTTTCCATAGATCTATATAATCATGCAATACCTCACGTCTCCGTTCACGTCTTGAGTCATCATCGTTTCTTAGACTCTTCGACTATACTTCTATCTTTCCCATCTATAACTCCAACCCAACCCCAGGCGTTCGTGACTTTAAGATCTCTTCCACTTAGTTCAATCCTTCAAAAGGAAACCAAACACCCCTCCATTTACATCATCCATCTCTCCTCCCTCCCCCTACTCCAAGCAGACCAAAATGGAAGGACTATTCTTCGACTCCAGTCGACCCATAAAACATGTCGACAGAAAGGCAATCTATACCCGGCTCGAAGCTCGTATCAACTATCTCCAAGACTTCCTGGACTTCAATTCCGGTATGCTCTTCTGTGACTGTTATCTTCCCGTGGATTATCATGGGTCGTGAACAATTGCTAACACGGTCCATCCCTATCAGCTGACGTCGAAGCCCTGACAACCGGCTCCAAGTACATCAAAGCCCTCATTCCCGCTGTCGTCAACATCGTCTACAAGAAACTCCTGGAACAGGATATCACGGCCCGGGCCTTCCACACGCGGAATACTGCCGACGAGAGACCGATCGAGGAGTTCTACAATGAAGAAAGTCCCCAGATCCTGCGCCGGAAGATGTTCCTCCGGTGGTACCTGACCAAGCTCTGCTCGGATCCCACACAGACGGAGTTCTGGCGGTATCTGAATAAAGTCGGGTGAGTTTACTTCTTTCGTGACGATTGCATTCGGTGTTGATATCGAGGTCTAACTGTGGTTGATCAGTATGATGCACACCGCACAGGAACGCATGCACCCCCTCAACATCGAATACATCCACATGGGCGCCTGCCTGGGCTTCATCCAAGACATCTTCACCGAAGCGCTGATGTCACACCCGCGCCTGCAACTGCAGCGCAAGGTGGCCCTCGTCCGCGCCATCGGCAAAATCATCTGGATCCAGAACGATCTCATCGCCAAGTGGCGGATCCGCGACGGCGAAGAATACGCTGAAGAGATGTCGCAAATGACACTAGACGAGCGGGAGGGATTCCTCGGCGACAAGAAGATCTTGGGTGACAGCAGCAGCACGTCCGCCAGCTCGAGCGACGACGATCGCTCCAGTGTGCACAGCAACCCCAGTATAGCACCCA